GGCTGTGTTATGTTCTGCACTGGGATGTTTCAAAGAACAGGTCATGGCTGGGAGCCTTGGGAAACTGTTATGAGTGCAGCTGGTGCGAGGCGGTAAAGGCTGGAGTTTAGGGAAAATGAGTTTCTGTGGAGAAAGTAAAGCAAAATATCTCATGGTTTTAATCTTAGTATTTTCAGACTCATTTCTGTCCTTACTCCCCAAAGTTTTAGAATCTTAGGAACATATGTCCAATGACTTCTAAAGCCAAATATGCAAGGTTAAGCAAACTTTGCAGGTTACCTGCACTGCCCTCCATAAAACTGTCCTCACTTTGGACAGTAGTCACAGATTCCAGAGCTCCCAGGTCCCGCTCCGTTCTGACCAGCTGGCTGCAAGCTCAGAGGCTCCCACTACCTCCTCAGATGTAATGTCACTAGAATGACTCAAAGAACTCAGGAAAGTGCTATACTTATTATTACAATGTTACTTTAGCCAAAATATACAAATCAAAACCAGCCAAAGGGAGAAGCATAGGGTGAGGTCTGGGAGGGTTCCCCACCTGAAGCTCCTGTCATCCCCAAAGATGTAACCTTCTCACTACAGTGTGGAAAACTGCCAACCAGGGGAGCTCACTGGAACTGAAAAAAAAATTTTTTTAACGGACAATGTAATAACTGTACATATTTATGGGGTGCATAGTGATGTTGTCATACAAAAAATTCATAGCGATCAGAACAAGATTGGCATATCCATCATCTCAAACATTTATCTATGGGGAATACTATGGAGGTTCCACAAAAAACTACAAATAGAACTACCATATGACCCAGAAATCCCACTACTAGGCATTTATTCAAAGGACAGGAAATAAGTCTATCAAAGAGACATCTGCTCCCCCATGTTTATTGCAGCTTTATTCACAATAGCCAAAGCATCCAACCTCGGTGTCCAACAATGGAGGAAGGGATAAAGACAATGGATAAAGACAATAGAATACTATCAGCCAGACCAGGCGCAGAGGCTCATGCCTGTAATCCCAGCACTGTGGGAGGCCGAGACGGGCGGATCACAAGGTCAGGAGTTCCAGACCAGCCTGGCCAACATGGTGAAACCCCATCTCTACTAAGAACACAGAAAGTAGCCAGGCGTGGTGGTAGGCGCCTGGAGTCCCAGCTACTCAGGAGGCTAAGGCAGGAGAACTGCTTGAAACAGGGAGGCGGAGGATGCAGTAAGCTGAGATCGCACCACTGCACCCCAGCCTGGCGACAGAGCTGTCACTTACTGCAACACGGATGGAACTGAAGGACATTATGTTAAGAGACATAACACAGGAACGGGACCTCTTAGCAAAAAGTATCAGATGTAGTCTGAAGGGCCCACCATGAATAACAGACACTGCTATCACTGGGAAAATTCCAAGGGCTTAGAGGTTACCTCCTAGGTATGGTGAGATGAAGGCCAGCCAAATTTTCATTCATATAATGAGGAAATGCGAACTGAGACTTGATGACCTGATGGATCTCACCATTCTACCTCTTCTCAGCCCTCATTTCTTTTGACCAAACTATCTTACCTGATTAAGGGGCTGTCAATCCAGCATAGGGTTCTGAGAGTCCAAACACCAGCATAGGGTTCTGAGAGTCCAAACACCAGGGTCTCCTCTTAAATCCCCCATCTCGCTGTGTAATCTTAGAAAAGTCCCTTAATTTGTTGAGCTCGAGTTTCTCCAGTTGTAAGTGAAAGTATTAGACTGTAATCCATGAGCTACATCAAACTGATGGTTCTATGACTAAGCCACGGAAACTCTCTGAGACTAAATTTCCTCATCTTTAAAATAAGGAGACTAGATTAGATGATTTCTCCCTGGGCTAAAAATCCATGATTTTAGTACCTTACAACCTTTGCAAAGTGTAAGGAAAAGATGCATCAGCACTATTCCACATGGCAATTTTATTTTCTAGTTTATTGTCCTCTCCTGCCCCTGAAATAACAGAGTGGCTGCCTAATGTGTTATCGGGTGCCCCTTACACAGATGGATGCCAAAGATTTTCCCCTTTGTTTCTGGGGAAATAAAAGAAACAGAAAGTGGGAGGCAGGAATAAATTTTAAAGGCTGGGTAAGGGACCAGCCAAGAAGGCATAACTGAAAGAATTTTTGTCCCTTAGGTAAATATTATTTTTGCACTAACTACATGTTGCAAAAAGTAAAGAACATTATATACAGGAAAAATACCTCAATTCCAAAATGTGGGCATTTTCAAATTGTTAGGCAAATGTACTTTCCTGAAGGCCCATGAACATTTTGTATTTAAAATAAAAGTAAATAAAAGCTATATGTTAATACTGCTGATGTCTCACACAGCGACAACAAGAAATGACGCATTGCTGGGTCATTTAGTTCATGTCTTTGTCATTGATCTTGACAATAAGACTATTTAGTTACTAGTGTGTCTGGCCCTCTGAATCAATAGCTCACAAATTTTTGGATCACACACTCCCAAAAAGGGTTAAAAATGCATACTCCAAGTACCCCAAAATGTATGTCATTCATTTTTAAATTATGCATGCATCCTATTTTATTTAAATGTGTCTATTCAAATAGGCTTTATTACTTTTTGAAATCATGGTTTATGAAAATATAACAATTTGAAGATCTGGCTCAAAATTCAGTTTATTTTGATATTTGGTTTTAATGGTCATTGTATGACTCGCATATCCTGCATTAATAACCACCATTAATGGTCACCAAAATTATAAGAATAAATAATACAGGGGTCCAAACAGAAGAATCATGTCATTGGCCAAGCTTACTCAATCTTGATAATCGTTTCTCAGTTATGCAAAAGTTTTAGTTCAAATCTTGTTAGTATATTTTTATATTCCCCAAGGCCTATTACTTTTTCTTGCAAATAAAATAAGAGGTGCAGCATTGTTAAATATATATATATATTTATATTTCATAGGCTTTAATTAGACTTTAATTTTAATAGACTTTTAGTTTTTAGAGCAGTTCTAGGTTCACAGTGAAATTGAGCAGAAACTAAAGGGAGTTCCCATGCACAGCCTCCCCCACTTATCAGCATAAATGTACCACAGTGGAAGATCTATTATGTCACTGAACCTACATTGACACATCATCACCCAAAGTCCACAGTTTACATGAGGTCCACCCTTGGTGTCATACATTCTGTAGGTTTTGACAAATGTATAATGACATGCATCCACCACTATTGTATCATACAGAATATTTCCGCTGCTCTAAAATTCCTTTAGGCTCAGCTTATTCACTTACCCCTCCCTACAACTCCTGGTAACCACTGATCTTTTTACTGACTCCATTGTTTTGCCTTTCCCAGAATGTCATATTGTTGTGAGGTAGGACGGGGAACTCAACTCTGGAGGTGGGCTTAGACATCGGACCAAATTAAGGACTAGCTAAAACAGGTCTGGGCAGGAGCACCTCCCCCTAACACAGGCTCACCAGTGTGCCATGTCAGTTTACCATTGCCATGGCAACACCCAGAAGTTACTGCCACCTTGCCATGGCAACAACCCGTCAACCCAGAAGTTACCACCCTCATTTTATAGATTTCTGCATAAACCACCATTAATTTGCATATAATTAAAAGTGAGGTTACATATGAGTGAAAACCTGCCTCTGAGCTGCTACCCTGAACACCACTGCCTATGGGGTAGCCCTGCTCCATGAGGAGCAGTACTTCTGCCATATCAATAACAGTTGTTATTGAACACCACCTGGCCTACTCTTTAATTCTTTTCTGTGCGAAGCCAAAAACCTTCCCTGGCTAAGACTTAATATTGGTGCTTGCTTGTCCTGCATCAGTTGGACTCATACAGTATGTAACCTTTTCTGATTGATTTCTTCTACTCACATGCATTTGAGTTTCCTCCATGTCTATTCATATAGTGTTGAATAACCATAGTTATTCATTGTATGGATATAC